GTGACCAGGTTGATCATTAAAGCGCGGTGGTCGTCGCGCAGCGCGTGTTCGAATTTCATGTAAACAAACAATGTATTTTACACGCGTTGTATACGTTGCTATGAGTCCCATATCGAACAGGACGCGGCGATCTGTTTATAACTCTATGAACAAACATTCCGGTAAAACGTGCAGACTCAGAAAATGTTGTAATTAGTTTTGTAAGGTTATTTAGTTATCACAAATATTAGCATAAAGTTGGTGATAACTATTTCATACTGTCTAAACATAATATAGAATAAACTACCCCAGTAATTACACTGAACAAATGTAATATGTTCACTAGGAACAAAGGAATAAAAACACATACTAGTATATCATTGATGGAATAATACACATATGACGACACACATATGTTATAGACGTTTTCATAATCCCATACAGCATTCTAATGATGAATCAGGAGCACACAAGTTATTAAGTGTTTCATCAGTGACACGGTTTAGTTTTATTAAGTTTGCAGATCTGAAAAAAAAAAAATTACTAAAATATTTAAAAAAATAAAAAAAATAATAAGTTTGCAGATCTGTGCAAATTGACTTTCAAGTCGTCTGTGTAACTCTTGAAGTAGAACATTAAGGAAATGCAAAAATACTGTACGCCGGATTGTAGTAGTGTTCACGCTACACGAATTACAGGGTATATTCAAGTACAAGCACAGAGTCTCGTCGTTAGTTCATTTTTTCTCAAGAACAATTTCCGTAGATGTGCTCGCGTTGATTGTCCTGTCGGGAATGGCGTGCCGAAATCAATAATTATGAATGTGACATGATTCAGTGAAAATAAAGTCCAGCGAATATACCCTTTTTCCTATACTTTACATTCAACTTATCAAAAATCAGTGAAAATAAAATGCGACTAATATGCGATATAAAACAAATTAAACGGCAAGTAAAACAAAAACAAAATGTCATAAATGTATCTAAAAAAACATTAAAAAAATCCATGAGCCAGACCAGTACATTCTTCGGATTTGGTTTGATGATATATTTGAACAATACCCATTAATGACGAAGAGACACACAGATGTGAAAAAGTTACTACAAGGTGCTTGTGTTCGACCGAGCTTTGTTGACGCCAGGCCGGATATAACCATTTGATAATGAGATGGCCTCACTTCTATGGCAAAATGCACTGTGTCTGCACTAACACTTGCAATTTGCACATATAGGAAATACAACAGTGATATTCAATGTCCGGAATTGTCGCCTGTCACAAAAAAAGATTAAAAAAGCATCAAAACTGATGATAACAAATCACTATGTACAAATTTCCGCAGGTATATACGCTCATTCCTCCATGTTGAAACGAACTAATATTATAGTATTATATATATATTTTTAAATTTAAATAGTTTTCGACACATTGTTTCATATGTTTTCGTTCGTCAAATTTTACGGTTTCAATTTTTTGACGCCCAGTCCCAGACATTTTGCTGGGATAACTCCTGTATAACACGTTGAAATAGCTGAATTAACAGAAATGAATCTTAATTTAGCTAAAGTTTCGACTATCTCCCTGTGAGAATATATTTTCTGTTAAATTAGCTGCATCTTTAATTAGCTAAATTACAGATTAGCTGAAATGATATGCTAGCTAAAAAGACATGTTTTACAGTAAGGCTTGATAGAACGGCTGTCACGGATGGCCAATTCAGCCGTGGCACAACGGAACTTCGCCTATCGTAACTGAGGGCGCAATTCACGAGACGTTTGGCTTGCGCTAGGATCAGTACAATACGTGTGTATACTTACAACCAGACTCAGAACTGCAACATTCCATCTTGATGGCCCGATAATTCAAAACTATGGAATGGTTTATAAATTTAAGGAGGAGTTGAAGCCAAAAGTGGGAATTATTTTTTGCGACCTATTGTTTGGGTCGTTCATAAACTCATTATCACTTCTCCGTAAACTTATCGCTAACAGATGTATTCACAATAGGCTTGTAACCGTTGTCGTAAATCTTACATACTTGTAAACCTTCAATGTATTGTCCCTCTGCTACCTTTCATTTTTTATGTAGTCTATATATGTATCACGGGGAAATTCTTCTCTCTGAGGTTCTCCAACCCGTGTCAGGGGGAAATCTCGTCCCTGTCTCTATACACGTCTGCTTGAGGTACGGGATCGAGAACGTCACTTAAACTTTACAGTCAAATAGACGCACACAACGAAATACGTTTCAACTCTCGTCTTTAGTCGGTCAGTTGAGCACTCTATAGGACACAGCGCCCTGGGGAAAAGTCCCCAAGACTATCGCAAGGCTAACCCAAGACTCTGTCCCTAGACTGCGTCTCTCGTGGTGTACTCGCCAAGACCAACTAAAACAACCTTAACCAATTACAAAGCAGTTAAAAGACTCTAAGGCGTGGCCTTCACACATACAGCCAATCACACTAAGTACTGGACACGTCATATCTTTTGATTAATCTTTCACTATATTACTAACTGCGAATACCAACTGTCAGAAATAGTAGTCCGAATAGCGACGGTTGTATCGTAATTAGTTCCAAATCACTGAGTCGAGTTCCGTTCAGGACCTCGCATGAGCCTAAATGATGACAGACATAACACAGCCATTCGCTAGTAATCAGCTAAATAAATCGGACAACATATACGCATAAACAAATTCATCACATATGGATCACACTTGCAGCATTGCTTTTGTAACGTGCGATTTAATATTGTGACTGAAAAGCGTAAAATTACCTGTTGTGACCCATTTGTGAACAATATTCATCACATTCATGTACCAATGAACCGCATCTTCGCGGAAGTCATGTCGTCCGTAACACTTTTTCTTCATATGTTTCTAATTTTATTCAAACGCTCTACTTTACACAATTTGAAAAATCCAAGTGATCCGCAATTTGCAAAGTAAAGTGACTTCAACAAGGTAGTTCCATTTCAGGTCAAAATGCTTAATTTTCCGTGTGTGGTTGCATTCGACTGTCCCTGAAATGATGATGGCACTCATGTACCAGGGTGTCGTGAAATTGTACCGTCTCTAAGTCTTCAGACTGATATGGATAAATTGTTGCAACATTTTATTTTAGCTTGATTAATGAATTAATTGCTCGGTCTATAGTAATGCTGTTACCAAATCAGCTATGTAAATTACAACATTTCCCTGCGGGTTATTCTCGCGATGGCAGTAATAACGATTGTCTCTGAAACTATTGCGTAATCATCGCTTGAGCGTCAAGTATGCAATCTTAACGCGTTCGCATACTTGAACCTAGGCGCTAAACACTCCTAGGTGAGCATCGGATCCTGCCTTGTTCTGATGGTTTCTGCCTGTAAATTCATGCCAGTGTCACAATCGTTTGTCATGAAAATCTACGATCCGATGTAGAACTTACCCAAGTCGGAATGAATAGTTTTTATTTTACGTTAAACAATTGTCAAAACAACTTTTGTTTTGTATTTCTTTTATTTTTATCGACTAATATTTGCTTTGTTTTTGTCTTGTTTTATAACTTATAACTATATTACACTCTAAATATCCAAATAGAAAAATGTATATTTTTTATACGATGGTAATAAAGAATTATCTTTCTTTTTATCTTTTCTATTAATAAGCAAGAAACTACATTTCGGGGATTTCGAGTGTACGTCAACATTTTACATACAAGTCGACATACTTATTTAAAATGACGTTGTTACTGATTTACAGTAAAAAAAAAAGTCTATCGATTGAAGGCATATCGCGTGTACACCCGCACTTCGCAATCTGGTTGTCATGTCATGTACATTTAGAATGACTAATTTATAAAAAAAAGTCCACCGCCGGCGACTGTCGGTATTTTGCGTGTACAGCAACATTTCGCAATCAGGTCAACATATTTATTTAAAAAAAAGTTTTTCACCAAGTTATCGTCAAAAAATAATCTCTTGACTGAAGGAATTTGCATGTACATCTCATTTCAGCCGAACATTTAGACAAGCGGTCGAAATATGATTTTTATTCAATAATTTTTATGTTCCAAAATGTACGTACATTAACAATTGCTGATCAAAAAACGCTGTTTCCATGGTATCCTTAATTGTTATTTGCCCTTCGTCGCTTATTTCATCAGTCTCTCTACCCATGGAGCTCTTTTTTTAGCTCCATGCTCTACTAGTACCATAGCTGCAGTTTTGTAGCT